GAACAGTGGCGGGATTTGGTATTTGCGGCAATGAGCTTTCGAGTTCCTAACGCCTAATAATAATAATTATTATTATTATTATAAAATATCAATAAAAATGATAAAAAATCTATACAAATAATGAAAAATTTAATAAATCTTGAAATGAACGACTAAAAAAACAAAATAACACATAACTGTTAAACAACACTTTAAAATGTTTCACATCTCGAAATAAATTCTGTAACTTTTAATATCTACATGATAAGTATCAAATTCTTCTTTTATAATCTTTATTTGAAATAAACAAAGAAGAAGAATAATTGACAATAATTAACAAGAAAAGTGAATAATAATGTTAAATACTAGAGAAAGGTCGCCGATTCTGACATAACACTCCATTTTAGACAATACTTTTTAAACAAAAACTAAAAATAAAACTTCAGAAACATAAATACAAACTAGAAGATTTTGTCTATCAGATGAGATAACAGTTTTTATAATACAGTTTGCAGGTGCTAAAAGGTTTGTCGGATTATCGCCGTATCGTGATCCATTGCTAATGGCAATGTTTTTCGTGAATCTTGTCGTTCGCTTCATTTCTTTTTCTCTCTCAGGGCGAGGAGTACACTCCATATCAGTGCGCTCCTTATCCTGTTGAAGTAAATATGGCAAAGTTCACGAAACTTTCTTTTCCGTTTTAATTTTAAATCAAATTTTTTATTAAATTTTAATCGATTTTTGTTAAAATTTTGTTAAAAATTTGCATTAAGATTTTCAAGAAATTATTTATTTTTATTTTTTTAAGAAAACTTAATTTAAATTATAATAAAATTATAATTTGTGATTAATAAATATTATTTAGTACACCTAATTATAGCTCGTTTAATGTATTGACCTAAGTTTTACTATTTATTAATTTGTTATACGAGAGAAAAGAATTGATATTATTTATATTGTAATATTAATTTTGTTAATTAATAATAATATTTGATGTTTTTTAAAAAGGTGTCATGCGTGCTCGAAGGCATTTAGTCAAGCGGCGAATCTAACCGCGCATGCGAGAACGCATTCTGGCGAAAAACCTTTCCGATGTCCAGTGTGTGATAGAAGATTTTCACAAAGCAGCTCAGTAACCACGCATATGAGGACGCACTCGGGTGAACGGCCCTACAGGTTTGTATTTGAATTTTTTCTTTAGAATCAACTAAAAGAAAATCGATATAAATCCTTAAATGTCATCTGAATAAGAGTATTTACTTATAAATTACAGAGACCTCCAGATTAATTCTTAATATACACATTTACAAATTATATAAGAGTTATTAGAGATGTATTCCAATCAAAAGAAATAATTACTGATTGTTTACTGAGTACTTTATTTTGCTGAATGCAGTCCATATGTTAACAAATAATTTCGAAATATAAAGTAACTTATAAAAGACACTATTAGTTATCATGACATCTAAAGCTGTCAAATCGTAATATTTGCTTGATATAAAAGCTTTGCAATCTGTACTTACAAAGTTTGAAATTTCAGACAAGTATATTATATGAAAAAACAATGGCAAATTTTTAGAACCAGACCTAGATCGATACAAAAAGTACATTTGAGAATATACGCGTATTTACATGCGATATCGATGTAATATATAATAATACGCGATGTTTCGTAAATCATGTATGTAAATCACATTCAATCAATAAAATAGATGATTCCGTCGAAACTTAGTCTTCACTTTAGAACTCCCTTAAATTTATTTAGAATTATTAATTTTTGTTTCGATATTCTTCATTTTTCTAGGTGTCGATTCTGCAAGAAAGCATTCTCCGACAGCTCGACACTTACCAAGCACCTGCGTATACACTCCGGTGAGAAACCATATCAGTGTAAACTGTGTCTGCTTAGATTCAGTCAAAGTGGTAATCTCAATAGGCACATGAGAGTCCACGGCGGTTCCTTGACGTGACACAATCCTTCTGCACCAGTACAATCTGCGATGATGATAATTGACGACAGTAGTGCTGCACATTCATTGTCCAGATGCTGTCGAATACCTGTGATTCGATTAGGAACAAACTCGCCGGAAAAATAAAACGCAGAAGCAACCTCCAATATATATTATATAGTTGATTTCGATTTAATTTATTAATTTAACATATATTTTAAAAAAACTGTTTTAACAAACAGCTTAAATCAAAAAATTGTTACAAATAAATATGAATAATTTTCTTGCACATGATAGAGAGAATCTCTATTTATGCTAGAAAAAAATTTGTAAACTCACAAACAGTAAATTATATATTCCTATTATAGAAGAAATCAATGTAAAATTTTATAATTATTTTGTAATTAAATTGTAGCAAAAATATAATTCAAATTATATTATAAATTATGCCAAGAGAAAGGATATGTTTTTTGTAATTATAGAAAATTATATCACCTCCAAAACATTAAGTATAAATTCAATAAAATTCTCTAATGGATAATTATACCAAAAAAAAAATATTAAATATCATGCATTGATGATATATTTACTATTTTTAATATTGTCAATTTGTAACAAAGATATGCTTTACCTACAGCATATATTTTGAAATTTTATTTAGATTTATTATTTCTCTTACATCCATTACGAGGTGTGATTTAAAAGTAAGGGCTAATCGGTCTAAAATATGTAAATTATTATAAATTGCATAATATAATACAGAAAAAAGTAATTAAGTTTTATGACTGTTAATATATCTGACTTTAGTATTAATAAATAAAAATATATAAATGAGACAAAAGCTTTAATGTAAAGTCTAATGCAAGTTGAAAATAGCTGAATTTTCATAACAGATTTGTCAAAGCAAAAATATAGAAAAGCTGATGCACAAATAGTGTTTAGAAAAAAATCATTGACTACGTAAAAAAGGGGTAATTCTTACGATTAATAAAATATTTCTATTCAACTGATTTTTTCTAATAATCATTCGGCCTTTAGCTTTAAAACGCATCTTGTATAAAAAATATTTAAAAAGGGCATATCTCTCAGTTATAAATGTTTTTTTCTTCTTTTTATAAAGATTATTTTTCAGTTGCGTCATAAATATAATAAATTTTACAAAATCAAGTCGATGGAAACATCAAACAAGTTCACAAATCAAGCAGTGATATCTTTTTATGATTAGCAAAGAATCGCTTCTAATCACAAATTTGAATGTGCTTTTATATACTGTGTTTTGTACGTATATCAATCAGGTTGGGATGTATACACAAATTGGGATAAATAAAAAAATTCAAATGTGCGACATATCTAATATAACATACCGCAAAGCAAAACTGCGTTAACATTATTGTACAAATATTGTATTTATTATAATTATTATTAATTATAATAATAATGTTGCTCGTTTATCTCGACATCATCTTCTCAATTAATTATTCTATCGTCATCGAGTGTGGTGAATGACTCTTCTTATTTTTTGTTGTAATTCGCTTCTCTTTTGTTTATATTTCACTCTTTTTAGTTGTTTATAATCGTAATGAATGAATGAAAATGAGTAATTTTGGTGCTGTCAATTTTCTCTCGTCGAGAAAAGAAAAATAAGATGAAATAAAATGAAAAAAAAAAAATGAATATTACAGAATAATCTTCTACCTATACATATATTCGCATAAGAAAAACTCATTGATTAAAAAAATTATTATCAATTAAAAGCAATCTATCTTATTATTTCTTTCGTTCGCTCGCTTATTAATAGTTCCATAATATCAAGGATTTCTTCTTCGCTTTTCTTTTTTTAGGGAAAGAAATATTCGAATAATCCTTTTTTGCGTGTCAATTCAAAATTATCTTTTCGCAATTAAAATTATATATGTATAAATGAAAACATGTCTCTCCGTAGTTTCTTCTTCTCAAGTAGAATAGTTCTATTTTCTCGCTTTCTCGTTCCTCATTCTTTCTTTCTCTCTTTCTCGCTCGCTCGCTCATACATACACAGACACGCGCGCACGCACACGCACATACACACACATACGCACATGCACACACATACCCACACGCGCGTACCCATACGCGCGCGCACACACATACACACACACACACACACACACACACACATTTATATATATATATATATATATTTAAAAGTAATATTCTTGCAAAAAAATATGTATAATGTTTCTCTACGTTATGTAGATACGACTGCGTCAAGATGAATTAGTTCTGCACATTTCTTTTTTCTCTTCCTTCATCTAAGCAACAAGCTTTTAATTCAAGATCATCTTGTCGTGCAGTAAACGTATCTTATGTATTTCTTGTGTTTATGTATGTAACGTATTCTATTAAAAAATGAGTGCATGATCTCTCACACGCTCTATATATGTATATGTATGAAAGTGTTTTGTGTGATGCTTTATGTTCCTTCTTTCTTTTCTCTTGTTTTTTTTCTCTCTCACTCTCCTCTGTTTCTATGTATCTCGTGTTATTTTCCTCTTTTTCGGATTTCTATCTCGTGTGTGTGTGTGCGTGTGCGTGTGTGTGTGTGTGTGTGTGTGTGCGCGCGCGCGCGCGCGCGCGTACACGCATCATGCGCGCATGTACACACACACACACACACATACACACGCACGCACGCACACACACACACACACACATGTACGTACGTATGTATGTATGTATGTATATATATGCACACACACACATACACACAACACACAAATATATATGTACATAATGCATATATATGTATGTATATCTCCGAGACTACATCAGATTTTTATCTAAAGTCGAAATTGGAATGATTTTTTTCGCGTTTTCTCGCTCGGAGAAAAACTTGATCGCGGAAGTGTACACGTTGCATCCTGGAGGCTTCCACGATAACCAAACTCAGTCTAGTCTTTTCTTTCTTCTTATTCGGAGTACTTTTAACCCAATAAAGGCCATGATACATTATAAAGAATATAATTTTTTAAATAAATTATAATAAATTAATAAAAGAAATTTTAATAGAAAAAATTGTTGGAGACTGATACAAAAAATTTTTAATTTTTACA